AAAGTTTTGTCTTGCTTACTCTTCATTTAACATGAAAATGTGAAGAATACCTCCCAGCTCCTACCCTTCTTCCCTTCCAACTACCTCTTTCTTTCCCTAGCTTCTGCTAGGTAAAAGTGAGGTGGCTGAAATGAAGCCACAGAATCATAGCCTCTGAACCAACCTTGGAATTGAAACCTGCCCCTTTCCTGCTTTCCTTTCTCTTCTACTGGGTTGGCTGGTCCCTGAGGACTGAAAGGAGGGGCTAGGAATAGGTGAGGTAGGGGGAGAGCTTTTGCTTGTTATTGTAGGTTTTCAATCTGAATCCATGGTGGATTCAGTTGTGGCATCTGTTCTTCTGGGAAAGGATACTTCTCCCCCACCCCACCCCCACCTTATTCCCTTAGCTGCTGGGGTTCTGGAGAGTGGAACTAGTGATGATCGGTGTGTGTACAGCTCTGGAGCAGAAAAACCACTTGAGAGTTGCGGCAGGGGAGAGGGGGACCTAGGTCCTAGGGATCTAAAGAAGAAAAAGGAGAAGGGTAAGCTTAGAAAGCAGAGAATGTTCTAGACCAGAAAAGATAGGAAGACAGTGTCACCACTCTAGCTTTTCAGTAAAGCCAGGGACACTTCATTGAGATAACAAATGAGGAAAAAAGTACCATTCAGAAAGACTCCAATATAGTTGTAGGCCCAGAAAAGGGGCTAAGGATGGGGGTAGGTGCATGATAAGTATATTTCAGAGGTGTGAGTTGGTATTTTTGATTTTTTGCTAAATTAGACTCAGGTGTACAGAATTTAAACTGGTGTTGCCCAAATCCCTAGCAACCAGGTCAACCAAGCCCTAAGGAAGTGGTGAACCGAAATTCCACAGAAGAAATAGGCTCATGCCTATCTTATCTCCTCCTTTCCCCCAGTGCTATGTCTTATTTTGTTTGTTTTCTACTCCAGGGGGATCATTCTCCACCCTTCAGTCTCAAATACATACACCCTATTCCCTCTTCTAAGAAGAGGAACCATGGGAAGGCAGTCTTCAAATCCAATTGACTAATTTCTACCTAGGGTTTCTTTTTACCTGCTCCCAGAAGACTTGAGACAAATGTAACAGAACATAGAGCGGAACTTGATAACTAGTGCCCTCAGAACTGGAAATGGGGTGAAAATGGTTCTAGTGGTCACATGTCCAACAATTTCCCCCTTCCCCTCCCCTCCCACAGGTAACAGTATGAGAAACAAGGAAGTCTTTAAGAAACTGGAAGAAAAGGGGAAGCTAGGTGGCACAGTGGATAGAGCACCGGCCCTGGATTCAGGAGGACCTGAGTTCAAATCCGGCCTCCGACAGATAACACTTACTAGCTGTGTGACCCTGGGCAAATCACTTAATCCCATTGCCTAGCAAAAAACGACAACAAAAAAAAAGAAATTGGAAAAATGTTGCTACAAGTGAGGATCAGAACCTAATTTACATACTTCAAAATAAAACTCTGAGATGGAAGGAAGAGAAGCAGAGACTACATAAGACCCATGAACCTGAGCTCTAATCTATTCTGGATCTCAGACTAATGATGTGATTAATGCCATTCTCACCTCCCCCATCCCCAGTCAGGCCTAAGAGAAGCTTTCATGTAAGAGTCTATGTGGTATCCACCTGCCTTTGGAAGTCAGAGTAGCCTTAGACTTAGGGTAACTAATCATTTTGTGTGTGTTATGGATCCCTTTGGCAGTCTGTTGAAGTCTCTGGACTCCTCAGATTAATGTTTTTTAAATGAATAAATTAAAACACATAAACTTACCAAAGACATAAAAAAATCAGTGAAAATAAAGATGTAATTTTTTTTCTCCATCCAAGAACATGGACTTCCTGAAATCTATCTTCAGACTCCAGGTTAAGAACCTCTTTTTAAATTCACTTAATCTAGCGTTGTGGTTCAGTTTATTCACATTTTATGTTGTCCCTGATTCATTCTCCCATACACACACCATAGAAAGGCTTTCTGCTACAATTTATGTTTCCTTTTTCCCCTTAGTAGGTGGAAATGAGTCTTTTCTCTGCTTTTTTTCCCATCTGGACTTATAAACTGTCTCCTCTCTTTTTTGTCTCTGAGCTTTTCCTGGAGGAGGAGCAGTCTGGTTAGGAAAGGAAAGTAGTAAAAGGAAACCTCTAAATCTAGGGGTTCCAATCCTGTCGGCCATAACTGAGATACTCAAACTCCTTGAGGCTCTTCAAGCCTGTTGTCTTGGGCCTTAAATCTAGCATCTAAATCTGTGAAAGCCCATACATCCCTTTAATTCACTTACTTACATCCCCTTAATTCCCTACTTCAGTCAATCTATAATCTCATCAGTTGTGTATTCTTTCCATTAGAGCAGATTGCAACCCATCTACTCTTCTCATTCTATGCTGCTGTTGTCCATGTGCTATTAACCTTCCACGAGGAGGAAGGGGGGAGAGGAAGGAAGAGCAGAGTTTGACCACTATGTTGGAGATTTTTCCTCTAGATCTCTTGACATCCTATCTATACTGCTGGAGTGTGTGGGCTGAACTTCAATTATCCCTTGATCTTGCTAAAGATCAGTGCACGTTTTTTCCTGATCATATGTCTCTCTGCGGACATTCTCTAAGCAATTTCTCCTTCAAAATTCATTAGTAACAGTAGCAGCCTACTCTCACCAATAAAAATCGACCCATATGCCTACTTTCACATCTCTACAAATTTTTTTTTAAAATAATCTACATCCACATGGAAAGTATTGTTGATGAAAGTATGAGACAAGAACTGGAAAATTTTCGAAAGAGTATTCCACAGCAGATTCCATTTTTGCAATGACATAATTGACTGAAAGGTGTAGAGAATCCAGCTCCCATTTATTGTTGTTGCTGCTGTAGAAGCATTTGACTTAGTAGAACAAAATGCTTCTTTAAAATGGCTTCTCTGACAAGACCCCCCCCCATCACACCTAGTCTCCATATAAGGAAAATGCTGCTGATTCTTCTCTGCAGTCCTGGATTCTCCAACCTGGATTCCTTATAGCTGGAAGGTATCTCAGATATTAATAGTGTCCAACCTCTCTTTCTTGCAGCTAACAAAATTATACCCCCCAGGGAAGTGTTAAATTGGGAGTTCTGGGTGGGTGTAGGTAGCTCTGATCTAGATCTAGTTTCTGATCAAGTGGATCTTGGGGGCACCAGAACCCGGGGGGGAGCTATGTTCCCGGCCTCCGTTTCCTGTTGTTTCTGCTTCTCCATTTTCTGGCTGGCTGTCCAGCTCCTCCCCCATCTCCTAATTCCTACCGGCCTTTTTTCCAGCACCCAGAAAATGGGTTTCCTTTCCTGCTAGAGTGTGGCTGTAGTCAGCGAGGCTCATGGCCCTCTCCTGTCCCTTAAGGACTAGTCTCCATCCAGGTTTCCTGTCCCCAGGTTCCTATCCCTAATACACAGCTACTCTCCCTAGCCTCCCTTTCCTCCCCATCTATTCTTGTCTGCAGTCCAACCTCCCCAAACTCAGTTCACCGCAATAACGTCCCTTACCAATTCTCTACGATGCCCTGTCACCCCAAACGCTCTGTTTCCTGGTGTCTCCCACCCCAGCTTTTCCAACATCCGGCTGGAGTCTCTTCTCATTCCTGACTCCCAACTGCACCCCATCCAAGCACATCTTCTTTTCCTCCCCAATCCCCCAGGAGAGCGCTTGTTCCAAGCCGGACGATGACATCTTGGACATCCCTTTGGACGATCCCGGCGCCAACGCGGCTGCGGCCAAAATCCAGGCGAGTTTCCGGGGCCACATGGCTCGGAAGAAGATCAAAAGTGGGGAGCGAGCACGGAAGGGCCCAGGCCCCGGGGGGGCGGGCGGCTCTGGGGGCGCCCGGGGGGGCGCGGGAGGCGGCCCCAGCGGAGACTAAGCCAGGTAAGGGCTACGTATCACTATCTATCCCCAGATCCCTTTCCCAATTTTCCACTCATGAGCATTCCTTCTACCCCCACCTCAGTCCTACGAGCATTAGGAAGTCTCCTTCCGGGGACCCTTTCACTCCAGACGCCCTAAGAGCGGAGCAACTAATTGTACTGGGGGCGGGAGAGAGACTGGGGGGGGGCCGAAGTCCCAGGTGACCGACTGCATCAGGGGGCGGAGGGAAAGGACCTGTGGATTCAATATTTCCTTCTGTTTTTCCTTCTCTGTCTCTCAACCCTTGCTTGCCCCACGACTGAAGGTGAATTGACTGTTTTCTAAGGTAATTATTGTGTTACTCGGGAGGGGCAGGAGTTGCGCTAGTATCAGCCCTGGTGTATTAGTATCTTTGTCGGGAGGGGGCGTGTCTGTCCGTGGGAGCTGTCAAATCCTTCCTCTGAGCCCTTCTCTCCAATTCCAAGGCTAGGAGACACCACCTGCTGCTGCTGGGGCTGAAGGAGGTGGGGGGGGTGGGGTTGGGGTGGAAAGGGGGAGGCGATGGTTGGGGGAAGGGAATCCTGTAAAAACTGAGTCGATGACCCAGAGACAGGGACAGCATGCACACCTGGACAAACATGTACAAACGGAGCTACTCTCTTGGAGCCACAGGCATACACAGCGATTCAAACGTACGCAATTTCTTTCACTCACAGACACCCTTGGGGAGGTCATTTCAGTTCAGTGACTGGGGGGCGGGGAGCAGTTTCTAGATAAGTGGAAGTCCCAGACACCCTCCTTGGCCAGTCTCCTTGGCATCTTAGTAGGGGCGCAGGAAGAGGGGAGAGAAAGCACTGGCTTTTGACCCCAACTGAGGTGAAGGGTGGGGACGAGTGAATCAAAGAGGAGGGTATGATGTTCAGATCTCTCTTCGCAGTTCCCTAGGTGAGGTGGATGCCATGTCCCCTTCGCAGTGACAAGACTTCCCTGCAATGTTTGTGACTCCTTCCCCCACCTCTCCTGCCAGCCTCAGGAGCCCACACGCCACCGGGAGACCCCCTCCCCCTCGGGCCGGCTCCATTCCGGAGTCACTCTACCTGTTCGCCAGTCTGAAAAGGGACCTGATTTCCCTAACTTCTTTACCCCTCTCCTGTCTGTCCTCCTTTCTTCATCTCCTCGTTTTGCCTAATCCGCTCCACCTCCGCAGCGCACCCGCCCTGCATGAACTCACCACCAACTTTGCTAAGCTCCTCTTCGATTTCTCTCTGCGGATTGATGAGGGCGCCCCCAAATATTCCCTCTGTGTGTGTGCTCCCAGTAAGGAAATCCTGTTTGTTTCTGCGGGAAGCCGAGGGGTACGCCTGCCCCCACCCCTACTCACTGTGCTGCTGTAACCATCCCCATCCAGCCCACCCAAGCTCCAAGACTTTGGGCCTTTTGCTCCTCCACAGGCAGTCCCCAGTTTACACACTCGGGGTGAGGGGAGGCTTTTGGGGGTGCCGGAACCCTTTACTTCTGGGCGTGATCCTATTCTGGTTGGTGGGGGGAGGAGCGGGTTCCAGTTCCAGAGGTCCCCTGAAGTGACGGTGATTGTACGCCCAGTCCCACACCTGCCTGTAATCTCCTAGTCCTGAGCCCATTCTACAGCCCTACGCCCCTTGCCTCGACTGCTGCGCATCCCGGGACCACCTCTCCAACTCTCTTCTTGTTATGCAAACTCCTAGGCCGAGGTGTTCTAGAGGCGGTGTGGGGGGGAGTCAGAAGCTGCCCCTGCCCCCTGCCCTGCCCTGCCCTGACCGCCCAGCCCCTAGCCGGGCTCCTGGGGCTGTGGCAGAAGGGTTTTTAAATTTTCGTGTGTGCATGTGACCGCTCTGGGTTGGAATGTGAACAATAAAGAGGCAATGTCCAAGTGTTCCGGGCTACCCTCGAGAAGGGGTTGGGTTGGGTTTACAAAGAGGGAAGGCCCCGGACTGGACTAGCCCCAACCCGACTTAGAACTTTAAAAAATACAAAGAATTTTACTGACAGCCCTGCAGGACAGGTAGTACAAGTATCCCCATTTTACAGATGAGGAAGCTGAGAGACAGAAAGGTTTAAATGACACAGCCCAACAGTTTGTAAGTGACATGGCCTCGATACCTCACCTAGGTGAGGGAGTGATCCACCTAGGACAGTAGTGATACAGACAGATTTGGCTGATTCCCTGAGCACTCTCCATGCAACCTCTCTAGATAGTCACTCACTCCCTGGCTTCAAGGTTCCTTAGAAGTTAGGCCCATTCCATCCACTAGAGGAGTCATACATTCATCTACCCTTTAAAGAAAAAAGCCAGAGATAGGTCCTGAAAACTAGGACTTTCATTATAAATTCAAGTCCCACGGGACAGAGGCAGTAGAGCATAGAAGGCTGTCAAACAACCATGGGGAGTTTGGACTTGGTGGTGGTCACAGTGCTGGCAGAAGGGGACCTCTCCAGTAGCCCAACATCTGAATTGCCTCTTCGGGGAAGTGAGTCATAAACCCCTGGGGCCTTGGCATCCTCTCTGACGGAAGAGAAACAAATCCTCAAATAAAACCAGAGACTACCATCCTTCTGTTTTCCAGCCCTCCCCTTGAACCCTTGGAACTAACACCTGTTGCTAAAGGAGAGAGTTCTTACCTTAACTTCATCTAAACTTCTCCTTTTCAACCCCTACCTTCACTATATGGCTCTATGACCCCAGGACCAATTCCTCACTCCAAAAATGCCCCAGGTTTGGGATCCACAACACAGTTCCTGACCCAGATCCAAGCCTATTGTCTCCCTTCAATTTTCCTTAAATATCCTGTGGGAGGGTAATATGTGGTAGGGATGTTGCCTCTGGTGTACCCTAACCTGACACCACCCTTTCCCTTCCTCTCCCACCTCCAGCCTACTCACCTAAGGTCATTGCCCCCATACATCTCCCTTGGCTTCTTAATCCTCTGCTTCTGGAACTTCAGTAGGCAGAATACACCTACCACCAAGAACAGCAAGCCCAAGAGGACACCTATCACAGCTCCTGCAACCCTGCCCTTGGACGGGTCTAAGAAGACACAAAACCCACAGGACACTCGAAGAAAGACCTTGGTTGTTAACCATCTTGTATAACCCCACCTTTAACACATATTCCCCAGTCCAGGTCTCCCCACTCCAGCACTGTTTCTTTCAATATGGAAGACAGAGCCCCATTCCCATACCAGTCACTGCAAGGATCAGTTCGCAGAAAGCACTGCCTAACTGATTGGCAGCCACACATCGATAGACTCCAGAGGAAGTGAGAGAAAGGTTGGTGAGGATGAGCCGACCAGAGACTTCATCTAGGAAAAGGAGAGGAGAAGTGATGGAGTAGCCATATCCGTAGGAAACAGAAAAACTGGGTGGTATGGGATGTTCAAGGGCAGATTGCAGTTCATTGATATGTTACAGGGGCTGTCTGCTCTGTCACACTCTACTGTGCTGTAGACCCCTTATATCCTGAGCCCTGCCAAAGCCTTTCCCAACTGCTGCTACTTCTTTCCTACCTCCATTAACAGTCAAAAGATCATAGACTCAGGGTTAGAAGGGGCCTTATTGGCCATCAATCCCAACCCTCTCATTTTAAAAATGAGAAAAATAAGAAGCACAGAGGGGTTAAGTGCCCAGGGTCACACAGCTAGTAAGTATATGAAACAGGATTTGAGCTCTGGTCTTTCTGACTCAAAAGTCCAGTGCCCTATCCATTGTTATGCTGCCTCTTAACAGGGAGAGCATAGGGCAGGGCTTCTGTGAAGTTTGGATTCAGTCAAAGGGCTGCACTTGAGGACCTAGAGGGCCACATGTGGCCTCAAGTCTACAGGTTCCCCATCCCTGGCATAGAGTATAAAATAAAAGGGTGATCAGGGATTTTCCAAGCTGCTGGAGCCCAAGTAGGGGGCAGAACACTTGGCCACATAGATTCCTGGATGGTCCTAGGGATAGACCTTGCCATTATAGGTTCCCAATATCTTAAATATTGATTTCTCACAACCCCACCATCCCTTCCCCCCTTCACCCTCCCCCCCCACACACACACTTACCTTGTACCATGCTGCCAGGAGCTGATGTAGGAGCAGAACCCAATCGAACCCAGGTGTACACAGGACGGGGGGCACCCCCTGAAGAACTGCAGGTCAATGCAGCACCCCCTCCTACTGAGATCTGCCCACTTTGTCCACACGTGGGCTTCGTTGGGGGTACTGCAGAGGAAGAGTTTTAGGTGAGAGTTAATCAATTTGGCATTTATTAAGTGCTTGCTATATATGAAAATAAAGACCAAAGTGAATCAGTCCCTGTGCTCAGGGAACTTACATTCTCTCCTGACACTAACATAAGGAAATAACATAAACATAATCAAATACAAGATAATGGGGGAGGGAGGGAGGGAAGGTAGAGGCACAAATGGGAACTGGGAGGAATCAGGAAAAGTTTCATATAGGTGGTGGTGCTTGAGCTGACTTTTGAAGGATGCTAAGGATCCTAAGAGGCGGATGGAAGAATGGAGTATATTCCACCCAGAGGAGGCAACAGAAATAGAAGGAATGTCTTGTATGAAAAACACTAAGTAGGCCTCTTTAGCTAGACTGTAGAGTGCCTGAAGGGGTGTAATGTGTAATAAGTCTGGAAAGGCAGGTGAGTGCCAGATTGTGAAGAAGTTTCAATACCAAACACAGGAGTTTGTATTTTGTCACAGAGGCAATAGGGTAGTTCCTAGAAGCTTTTGACCAGAGAAGTGACATGGTAAGATCTATTTTAAGAATATTGACTTGGCAGTTCTGTGGAAGATGGATTGTTGAAAAGAAAAAATGGAGACAGGGACAGGAATTAAAGATGGTATTAAAATAGTGAAAAGTGATGAAAGACTGAAGTAGTGTGGTTATGGTGTGACAGCAAAGAAGGAAATTAATTCTATGGTTAGTATAGAGGTAAAAATCAACAGGACTTGGCAAGTTGAGGAAAGGGGAGGTGGAGGGACATTAAAGATCAAATAAGGACTCTCAAGTTTCAAAACGAGGCTACTGAACTGATAATAGTTCTCTTGTCAGAAATAGGAAACAGGGTGATTTCGGTGGGGAGGGAAATCAGGGGATGATAACGGTAATGATTTGTTTTGGATGAATTGAGGACAAAGAGCCAGGCTAAGAATCAGAAGCCCTGGATTCAAGTTCTACCTCTAAAACTGTGTGACCATGGGCAAGTCAGCTTTTCAGACAACTCCCTAAGACTATATATAAACTAAAAAGAAAGTGTTTTCTCTTCTAGGAGTTTGCTGTAACAATGAAATCACAGATCCAGCCCTGTCTCCTATGGGAAGTTAGATAAAAGTCCTATAGAGACAACTAGCTATGACTAAATATAACGTTGGTGCTCAATGAAGAGGCAGCTAATAAGTACTAAGGACCCCATTCCCACAACACCACCTCCTTCTTTGCCTTTGTGCTTAGGAAAAAGTGTGTCTGAGCCTATAAATGAGAATTTCCTCCTTGATTGGGCTTCTGGAGGAAGAGCTCAGCCAAATTCCCATTTTAGGGGATAAGGGACAAAGAAGATAGAAACTATATTCCTTAGTACGTGGGTCTCTGTGTGCCCAATGAGTCTGTCTAGTGACATGAAGCCTAAATCAATGGAAATTATAACTATCCCAGGTAATAGGGGTTCTACCCCATCTCAAAGAGTCTCCAAGTGAGGTTGTTGGGGAGAAGAAATGTTTCCTTGATTTCCCTAAAGTGGGTGACTTTGAGGTTTAGAGTAAAGCTATATCCAGTAGTGGAGGAAGCAGGAAGTGGAAGAGAACTGTCCTTTGGTGTATATGTATTATGTATGTATGTATGGGCCTGCCAGATCATGGCCTATTCTTACCCAGCACCGTGAGATTGACCAACCCCAACCCATTATCATAGAAGTCTGGTGGGTTGTTGACTTGGCAGAGGTAGGTTCCAGTGTCCGAAGATCGAATATCTGTCAGTCGAAGTGTGGCTACCCCTCCTGTAGGGGGATTCTGCAGCAGAGTGGCCCTCTTTGCCTGGGGACCCGTCAGATATAGCTTCTTATTGGTGAAATATAGAATCTTGGGAAGTGGCAGAGAAAGAGAGATTACATATGGCTTTTTTTGTGGCTATCAACTTCTGTGACCCCTTTCCAAAAGTCAGGGACCAAGACTCTCTCCCTCCCATAGTGCCTAAAATTTTGCTATTAAATGTCTTAAGAATTGTTCTTTCTAGGTGAAGTCTTAAAACAGACATGCTCCTGATAAACACATAAATCAAGTCACTAACTTCTAAGTCACTAACAGCTTAGTTTAAATTATTCCGTTGACTCACTTTTCTCTGAAACAGGAGGAGCTTGGGTCAGCATGAGCCTAAGTCTAGGGTAGAAAGGGTGGGTAAAAGGCAATGGAGCTAATCAGGGGAAAGGCTATGGAAGGAAAGGTGAATAATTATAGCGATAAACTTCTACTTATCAAATTTGTGTAGAGTGGCCCTGCCTCTATCATGGGAGCTGTAATAGGAACAAACATCATGAGAGACTTTGCAGCCATCATGTCTTCTCACAGAAGCTGCTATATGCAAGATTCCTAGCTTTCTATTATCTCTGGATGTTGGAAGAGGTTTGTAGGTTGTAGATATGCTAGAGTGAGTGGAGTAGGGGGAGGAGAGGGTGGAAGAGGGTGCCTAGATTACTTCTTTCAAAGTAGGGGAAGGGCAACAAATGTGCCCTTAGGTCACAGGAAAAGGTTGGCAAAAGGGGAAGGGAATTTTCAAAACCTTTTTTTTTTTTCTGGGAGGTGGTGAATGGGGGGTGGGGGGTGGAACAGCAGCTTTTATGGTTTGGTCTCCTGGAGTCTCTTCTTTGTGACTCATATCCAGACAGGAAACTGTCTGATCAGGGTGGGAAAACCACATATTCTAGACGCAGGAGTAGGGAACCTGCAGCCTCAAGGCCACATGTGGCCTTCTAGGTTCTTGGGTTCGGCCTTTTGCCTGAGTCTAAGTTTTACAGAACAAATCTTTTTATTAAGGGGATTTGTCCTGTGAAGTTTGGATTCAGACAAAGTACCGAACTTAAGGACCCAGAGGGCCACATGTGGATTCAAGGCCGAAGTTTCTCCCCCCCTGTATCTAGAGCCTATTTTCCCCCTTTACCTAAGCAGACCCAAAGGAGATACATCCTCACATCTCTCCCCCAATGATTACAGTGAGGCTGCCTCTACACTGGATAGTTGACTTCCTCTCTCTTCTTCCTTCCACCCCCATCCCATTCAAGGAGACTTTAGACCTCCCAATTCACACTCACAGTCTCAGCTGAAGAGATGGGATTACCAGGCTGGACAAAACTCCATTTCAGTGCAAAGTTTTCTCCCACGGATGTGTAATAGCTACAGGTCAGCTCTGCAGCCTCACCAGCAGGTTTGCTCAGGGGTTCAGTTGGCACTTTCACTTCCACAGAGCACCCTGGGGCTGGGGGAACCCCAGGGGGAACAGGGAGAGACTTCAGATCCTGGCCAAGGAGGATGGAAGCAGGAAGGGAAGACCAGGGCAAACAAACCCCTGTACTCCATCCAAACTCCCCACTTCTCTTCCAAAAACAGTGTTAATCTGGTGTCTAGAACCTCTCAGAACATCCTGCTCCCCACTCCCCTCCAGCACAGGCCATTTGGGTCATTCCCTCCCCCCCCCCATACACACACCTCCTTGAAAGCTAAGGTAAAGGTTTCTGGGAGGAAGGGAGGGGCTTCTCTGCTGGCTAGGCTGGGTCTGTGCATAAAAGAGATCAAGCCTGGGCCAGATATGAGGGTGTGTTTGTTAGTTTCTGTGAGTCTGTGAGTATAAAAGACCACAGTAATCCCACAGTCCTTAAAAATCTTGTCAGCAACCCAAACGTCTCTTTCACCTTCAGGGCCTCTACAATCCACTCACTTTCACCCATTCCTCATTTAAAGTCAGTTTTCAGGAGACTTCTCCCCATCCGACTCCACCCAATTACCCCTTTTAAAATTGTGTTGGTTTAGCGCCCATCCTTCCGCAGTTCTGGGGCCCTCTAGCTATTCAACTTTCGAGACAGATGAGGGAAGGGAGGTGTCATGGGGGTGATCCTGAACTATAGAAGTTGAGCTAAGAGAATCTGCTCTCTCCCCTTTCCTTCTAATCCCTGCCTCCCACACACATTACCAGCTGACAGCCCCCAGCTCCTCACCGATCAGGTAGATGAGGGTCACCATTGCCCAAAACACTAGGGATCCGGGGAGCCAAGCCATGGCTGCTTTAGGCTGTCCTTCTCTGTGTAGCCTTTGTGGGAGGAGAATATCAGGAGTACCTTACCCAGAGGTAAGTGGGACTGACTAACACAAAGAGCAAACAAGGGGGAGAGGCCCCGGTACCTTCAGGAAATGGTGCTTTACCTGGAAAGAAAGGCATTGGGGAGAGCAGAAAAACTTCGGGAACTCCAAAATGGGGATCAACCCCAGGCCAGGCTGAGTCTACAAAAAAGAAGCCCAATCTCAACATGCCACAGAACAAAGGTGTAAAGGACAATGACGAGTAAAGGACTGGAGGCTGGGAACAATGAGAAAACAGGGGCTAGGAGTCAAGGACTGAAACCAGAGGAAAGATTCAGGAGGTTCCTATTCATTCTGACACTGAGAAATAATAACAATGTTGCATGCAAATTAATACATAAATGAACATTTTTCGTTCTTGGACTACTAGCTTGGTGGATGTAATATGTGACAGACATAGTGCCACTTTAGCACTATGCTTACTGCATAGACGGCCACTGGGCCCTTCCCAGCCCTTTAGTGACCCCTGCTACCATAAAGTTTCTTTCTCCTGAGTCATTTTCAAAATATGTAAGCAATTTGGATAAACATTTCCATGGAAACTACAAAGAACATTGTCTTTGGAGTCAGGGGGTCTGGATTCCAATCCTGGCACTAAAACTTATGATCTATGTGGTCTTGGGCCTAAGATTCCTCATATGATATGGCTGGACTAGGTAGCCTTTGAAGACTTCCTTTCCAGCTTGAGAAACTGAAACCTAGAGGTCATTTTACCCAGGGTGTTGAGAAAAAAAGCCAATGGAATCTCTAGGGCTGACAGGGCCATTCCCTATAAACAAAGGTAGGAATAGAGGGAAGGAGAAAGGGGGAAGAAAAGAGGGACAGGTTACTGAAAGTCTCCTGGAGCTACATGGTCTACTTCTATTCCTGTTCAGACCTGACTGATCCTTCACTTTGTCCACCCCATGCCTCAGATGTTTACATTGTCATTGAATAACACTGGAGTAGGGCATCACAGACAAAGAAAAACTAGAGGGACAAGAGGGGGGGATTTGAACTAGGTTTCTCATCCTGCTCCATTTGAAACAGGAATTTGGAATGGTGTTCCCAATACCACTCTCTCTTTGATGACCTCCAGAATGAGGATTATCCATTTCTGTTTCTTGCTGAAGAACACTAATAAGTGATCTAGATTACCTCTATGCTTTGCTTATGCCATTATTTTTCTTTCTGGGGTGGCTGATGCCATCCTGAGATGATATGAAGGCTAGAAGGGAAAAGGTGGGGAAGAGATATGACAAACAGCCAGAGTTTTCACTACCATGGAAAGATATTTGATTGAAATATAGAAGACCCTGGGTTCTATTCTAACTAAAAGTCTCTTCCTCTAGCTAGCTATGTGATCCTCAGAAAGGGACGTCCCTTCTCTGGATCTATTTTCTCATCTGTAAAATGAAGGGCTGGGTTAAATTTCCATGGTCCCTTTGGGCCCTAATAGTCGAAAGACTCTATAAGAATGAGACTTGGGGGGGGGGAATGATTGAACAATATCCTATCAATTCTTTCCTTAAGCTCCAATTACAGGCAGTAGCTTTGAAAATTGCATGTGACTCTCACTTTGCATACAAATAAAAGTTATTTTTTATTGACATTTACAAAAAAAAACAAGGTCAGTACAAAGCAGTTTCTAAAAATTACAATCCCTCCCTTTCCCCCATGAAAATCCAACCAAAAAAGGTTATCAACGCATTTGAGTCTGAGGTAAGATCACAGGGAGGATATAAGCAGAAGGATCTTGGGAAGGTGGGGAGATCACAGATAAATCCCACCACACGGTCCCCTTCATAAGCCCATCTTGACAGCATTTCAGCTCCAGTCACCAGGCAGAGGGGTTGACTCTAGAGTAATATATGAGGTCTAAATCCTCCCTGAGCCCAGGCTCGCTTCCTAAGGCTTTCTACCCCTAGAGCCAGTTATCTGAATGAATGTTGATGAGACCTATTGAAAACAGGCTTTCCCCACAATAACAAGGAGGCAGAGAAGTATCTTAGGATAATAGCTGGAAGGCAAGCCTTGGAGTCAGGTCAACAAGGATTGAAGTCCTACTTCTGACACATATCAACTGTGGGACTCTGGATAGGTCACTTAACCTCTCAGTGGCCCCAGTCAACTCTCTAAAACGATAAGTTTTAGATGAATTGTCTATTTGCATCAGAGGGAGGAGTTTCCACAGTGGAAGGTCCCTGTACCAATGACATCACAGATCCAGACCAAAAGGAGGAGATGAAAATTGGGAGGGGTGGAGGAGGCTACATGTCAGGAGTATGGTTGTCTTTAAAGCATTCCAATCCCCAGCACAGGCAATCACCTTTTAGCTGCTAGTAGAAAGGGCAAACCAGTGGATAGCTCAGTCAAGATAAGGGTGGGCAATTATACCAGGGAGCCTGCCTGGCTCTGGGCAGGCACCATGACTGGCACAGCACCCATCCGACTGAGAGCAGAAGAAGACACCCCTCCAAGGGTAGGTGATGCTGTAGGAGGGTGAGTCCTATTTGTCCTGGGTAGCCCTGGGGAAGGCAGGGCCTGACTAGAGAGACTAGGTGTAGGGGTCAGTGCAGCAGGTCGGGTAGGTCCATGGGATGGTCTGAGGGCACGGGCTGAAGTCACAGAAGAAAGGGTCCCATTCTTGGAGATGGTGTCTGAAGTCTTAGGCCAGGGCAGTGTCCGGGGGGCAACAGCATCCTCCCTAAGTTTGAAAGGAGGCATAATGACAGGTCAGAAAGGTCAGAAACTCTGGGGATTGGTTCTTTCTTCTGCTACTTCCCCCACCACTTGATCCATGTACTCCAACCTCTTTAAACCTTTCCCAAAAGGAATTCACACCTTTGGCTGTAAGACAAAAATGGGATCACAGACATTGACTCTACTCTTCTTCCAGAGTTGGCTAGATTCCCAGGTTCCATTGGGAATGAAAGAGATCAAAGGTTTATACAAGAGCCAGAGACACTTACTTGATGTCATTGGCTGGTTCCTCTTGCATTTTTTCTCGGTGACAGTACAGGAGGACCAATACAGCCAACGCCACCAGCACCACCAGGGTGACCACCACAGCTCCAGCTATCACTGCTGCCTTTGGCCCTAGAAAAATCTAGGAGTCAGAGCTGGATATCCACTTAACACCTCTCCATCAAATTGGCCTTTCCTAAAACATCCTCCTCCTCCACCACCACCCCAGCATATATTCTGCCCTAATAGGAAGAAGAAGAGAAGAAGGAGATGATTAGGATATGTGCAGTCAATGACTGGATTGGCATTTCAGTATTTTGGATATGAGTAAAGGCTTCAATTACCTATCCCAGCATCATGTGCTTTGACCTTCTCCTCTATACTTCCCCCTTTCCCTGCTGTCACCCAACACTGACCACCCTTTTTGTAGCCACCACATTATCCCTACTGACCTGAAGTTACCTCTAGCGTCACATTGCACTGGGCACTGCCCACCTTGTTGCTGGCTTTGCAGACATAGACTCCAGACATTGAGGCTGAGAGGTTGGTGAGGAATAGAGACCCACGGGTGCTATCTGCAGGCATAATCCAAGTGGTTAGCCCATAAATACCTCTTCCCAATGAACTGTCCATTTCCTTTGGATTCAACTCTTTATAACATTCTGTCAAAGTTTGTCAATTTCCCATCAGGATACTAGGGAATATAGCACCTAGAACCACCTAGGTTCTGCTTCCAATTTTTATACTTTCAGGACTCTACCTGTTGTGCCTCACTTTTCTCAGATTCATTCCTAACTTCCCATCTGTCATCTCATCACCATGGACATGTACACCCACAATGTTGGTTCAGGGGAGGGAGACTAAAGGAGATGCACTGTCATCCCCCTTATCTCCTCAGTTCCTCTCTTCTTCCCCCACCCTGTTCAGGTCCTCTTGCCCCTCTTCCACAAACAACAAGCAAGTATTGTTCATGTGCTAGGCACTGGAGATATAAGGACAAAAAGAGGACACAACATAACCCTGAAGGTATTTATAATCTAGTGTGCGCTGTAAGACATGTACATAAATACATAAAATATACATTAAAATATGGTCAAACAAAATGGTATAAGAAATTTTTAAAGGAAGAATCAGGAAAGGCTCAGTTCCAATATTTCTCACTCTGATAATGCCTCGCCTATTTCCCTTTCTTGCCCTCAGTCTATCTCAACATTCCCAGCACCCTAGCTCCCCAGTTCTCCAAAATTTTCTCACCTACAGCAGGTGAGAAGAAGAACTGGACCCTCGGGGGGAGCCGCTCCCACCTGTACTGGGCAGCTGGTTTGCTTCTTGGAGTCAGGCAGGTCAGGGTCACATTGGCCCCCATTCTTGGAACACCATGGAGATGACATGATGGGGCAGCTGGGGACACTGAGGAGATGAAGGAATCAGGTGAGAGACTAGGACCACTTACAGTAGAAAAAGACTTGTGACTGTCCCACCTTCCCTAAGTCCATAGTTCTCTTATGCACTTTTGGGAGAGACCAAACTGTAAGGGTAACACGACAGGAGAGAAGTGAGGGTGGGATGAAATAGGATAGTAATAGTTGAATATTAGAAATAGTAATAATAGTTGAAATCTATATACATTGGGTAATATCACATTGGGGTAAAGGGAGGTGGACTCAAGAGGTTAAGAGTGCTGTTCACTTACCCAGAACATCAAGTTCCAAGCTGCCGACACCTGACCTACTGTCTCCTTGGTCCTGCACATTCACAGAGCATCTGTATTGCCCAGAATCCTGTTCTTGGAGCTGGACTAGCTTCAGGGATATGTTTCTGGAGGGCATAGTGTGTACTAGGGATATACGGGGTTCGTTTACTAATAACTTTCCATCAAGATAGGACAGCACCTAGAAAGGTAGAGAGATCACAAGGTCCCATTACTGGGCACTCAAGGGGCCCAACAAGCAAGCTGCCTTCAAATTAAACTTTTCATTCATCATGTTAAAATAATGCAAGGAACAATGAAAACAAATTCATTTGGGGGGACAGAATTTTTATACTGGTTTATGTGCTACTGATACGCACATTACATTTTGGTGCCCTGGACTAAGTGCTTAATTGCCCTGTCCCAATTATGACTCTCTGCTCTACCTCAAGTAGTTAGTATACTAATACCCCACCAAATCCTACTAGCTTAATCTTCTCTATTTGACAAATAACTTCTCTGTAAAATAAGGGGGTTGGACTAAAACGGTCTTTAAGGTCCTTTACAGCCCTAATAATGTGTGCATCGTGGTGTAAGCACCCACCCAGCCCACTATCCCAGCTCCCCAACAAAGTGTCTCCTAAATTAATCCCTGCCCCCTCTCTTGGGATACCCCTCTTCTTCACCTGCACCATTTCCTTCCCACTTTGTTCCAGGAACCATAGCACAAAAGGGGAGGCCTCAGGCTTAGGAGAGGACATCATCGTGTTCAGCGTGTACCATGCTGGGAGCACCACGTCATCCCCTTCCACTGCTTCCACCCTGGGAGACCCCATGTGCAACTCCAGCTGCGCTCCTCGGGAAACAGACACTGTGGGAGGGAATGGAGGGACATCACTGAGGAGCTGGGCAGAGGCAAGGGGACAGAGGAATCGGGAAAATATCATTTCTCCTTCTGCCCACCCTCCCTGCCCCATGCATCAATAAGCATAGATCTCTGTAGAGAAATGGGATGGCGCTCACACTCAAAAAAGTGAATGGGTTAAGATCTGAGAACCTCTCTCTACTGGCCCTGCATCAGTTGGGTCTGAGAAAAGGTGTTTTTTTTTAACTTATTGCTAAAAAATGCTAGCCATCTTCTGAGCTTTCAGTGAGTTGTAATCTTTTTTTTTCTGGTGGAGAGTCTTGCCACAGTGTTGACAACTGCTGACTGATCAGGGAGGTAGTAGCTGATGGTTGAGGTGGCTGTGGCAATTTAAGATGAGGTATTTCAAAGCTCTTTGGCGGGGAGGGAGGGAAAGAGAATTATTAGGCTTCAGGTTCCCTCTTTTTTCTCAGAGCAAAAATCAGAAGTTATTTTCTGTCCCCTTATTGCTTGCTTCTCTTTTTATATTAGCACTCCTCCTCCCTGCCCCTTCCCAGTCACTAGTAAAAATGGGGTAGTTGTGCTTGAGGCTTAAAATTAAAAAAAAAATCCACACAGCTTCTTCCCATGCTGTCCTACTAAAGTGCTCAGAGTTAGCCCACTTGCTCCCCTACTGAAATAACAGGCAAGCAGTGCAGCAAGTATGACCAGTCACCATCACTTGGGTTGCAGCTGCTCTCCTCTCTCCTGGCTCAGTACTTAGAGAAGGGCCACGTGGGTGGGAGCACTTCAGTTAACCATTAACTCAGCGGCTCTATCAGAAGCTGTTAAGTGGGAAAGGAAAGGGTGACTCCAGTGCCCGGGCCTGGCACCTGTTGGGTCTGAGCCCGCACCTTCCCAGTCATGGAGACTGGATCTCTCTCCCCTCAAAAGTGAAGACTTTGAGAAGAGGATTCAGATCAAACCCTTCTCGGGCTGGAACTATCCCAAACAGCTTCAGAAATTCTCTGTCCTTTGAACTGGGGCTATCTGTTATAGGAACCTGAGACTGAGGAATGGAAGAGCTGAAATAGACAATAGAAATAGCTCACATTTATACAGAAACTGTGCTTTGCTAAAAGCTTCACTTAATTTATGTTGTTTGATCCTTTCTACAATACAGCAGTTGCTATTATTAGCTTCGTTTAACTGACAAGGAAACTGAAGCTTTGAGAGATTGACTTGCCCAGTGTCTGAACCCAGAAATTAGAAAAACTCAGGTTCTTGATACCAAGTGCAGAAGTTTATCCAAGTTGCCTTCCCAAACTGGGCTGTGTTGACATCACCCTATATAGAGTTAAGCCTCCGGTTTTTGAATGGTGGGGGGAAGGTAAGAGCAGAAATTGCTTGAGCTCTCAGAAAACTGCGGGTAGTGTATAGCCTGTCATCCATCCTCAGCTCTGGCCATTTGCCTTTGTTGTAGATATTGAATCATTGAACTTTAGAGACAGAAGTATTCTTAGAAGTAGTCTTCACCAACTTCCTTCTCCCATTCTATAGCTAAAAGGCATTATGGCAGAATGGATAGAGTACTGGCTTCAGATTCTAAGACTCTCTTCTGACACCAAAGAGAAGTCACCTCTGAGCCTCAGGCAATTCTGAGACTTAAATTACAATAGCTAGCATTTATATATCTCTTTGAGGTTTTCAAAGTGCTTTACATATTATTACTTTTAATCCTCACATCTACCCTGGGAAGGAGGTGCTAATATTATTCCCACTTAAAGATGAGGAAACTGAGGCAGAAAGAGGTTAAATGAATTTCCCAGAGTCACAAAACTAGCAAGTGATTAAGACAAGATTTGAATTCAGGTCTTCCTAACTCCACAGTGCCATTTATCTGTCTCTATAGATAGTAATCATTTTCACACAGATGAAATCATATGTCTCTGACTTAATGATAGTAGCTGACATTCATAGAAAATCATAGATTCATGATTTTAAAAGAACTTTACATATAATATCCTATTTTATCCCAACAACTCTATGAGGTAGGTGCTGGGTTTTTTCCTATTTTTCAGATAAGGAAACTGAGGTTTAGAGAGGTCAAGTGACTTGCTAGACTGGACATCCAGTCCAGGCAAGTCAAACATTCTTTCCAGGTACAGAAATAGGTTCACAGAGCTAGTAAATGGCAGGGCTTCAGAACCACCACCACCCCCCACCAGTCTTTCTACAACCCCACAGCTACTTCTGGGCCTTGCTTTGTAATTTAAATTTCTTAATCCCTAGCCTATTTTGAGTTTAGTAAATGAACAAGCATTTATTAAGCACTTAAATTCCTCACCCACAGGGTGGCTAGATGGTGCAGTGGATAGAGCTCTGGCCTTGGAGTCAGGAGGACCTGAGTTCAAATGTGATCTCAGACATCTCAGACACTTGACACTTACTAGCTGCATGATTCTGGGCAAGTCACTTAACCCCATTGCCTAGCAAAACAAAAACAAAAATTCCTCACCCACACAGAATGCAAAATCTAAAGGATGAAACAAAATGCAAACAACTATGTACAAACCAGATGGATACAGTGTAAATGGCCGGTCATCTCAGACAGAGAAAGGCCTCTAGCAGGAGTGTGTGAGATTTTAGCAGTCTTGAAGCCAAGGAAGCTAGGAAGGAAGAGGGAGAGAGTTCCAGGCATGGGGGTCAGTCAGTGAAAAGGCACAAAGTTTAGAGAAGGAGTATCACATTGGAGGGACAGTGAGAAAGCCAGAGTCAACAAAACTTGGAAGATAAAGAGGGCTTAGAACATAGCCACAAGTACCAGGCTTTGGGATCTGAGATTAACCATAACCACCCTCCAAAATTCCCTGAATACTCCCTTGAGATAGGGAGGAAGTGACTATAATGCAGGATGCACCCTTCCCCCACCTGTTCCACTGGCTCCATTTGTTTGTAGGTCCCCTTCCTCACCCACCTCTTTTCTTTGGATTTTCAGTGTTCCCACCACCAACCCCCCTGTTTCCTGGCAATGTCTCCACAGGCTGGACAGGAAACAAAGGCCTTAGAGATAAGTAGGGAGACAATGAAGCGGGGGACAAAACCGGAGACACCCCACCCCAAAATTATCCGGCCAAGTAGCTGAGCCTCCTCTCCCCCTCCTGGGCTGGTCCCTTACACTTGCGTGCCTTTGGTATCTCTCCCTACTAGCACTTCTTTGTTATAAGGAGGTGAAAAGTAGAGGAAAGGGACCATACTTTTCCAGAATTATCCCTAGCTGGGAAGGGGTGGGAGGACAGTAGCTATGGCTGGGTAGAAGGTTTATCAAAAAACTTTCTTTGTACCTCTAATTCTTTGCTTGGGGGTACAGAGAAAGCTGGAATCTCAAACTTCAGTACTTTGGGAGAGCCTTAATCTTCCTCCCTCCCAGAGGAAACTCTTAACTCTGGAACCGAGATAGCAGAATCACCACTGGCCTCCATTTCTCTGTGTACGGTTGGGGAGGGGAGGGGCAGGGCCCTCATTCCCCTATCCACTCTTCCTATCCCCAGTCCCAAGAGAGCAACCCAATCACAAGAGCAATCCCAATATACAATACTTCTTCAGAGCTTAGATTCACAACTTCAGAGTTTTCAAAAGTGATGGGGTCTTAAGGGGTCTGGAGAGAATGAGAGTGTATGTACATTCTCCCTGAGTCTCTCTAAGAAGACATGGCCCATCACTTCTTCATCCTTTTCATTCCACCTCCTGTCTCTAAGAATCTTTTCAAAGGAAAAAATAAAATTACTCAGATATCCTGTTTTTGCCGTTTTTTTTCCCTCCTGATTTCTCCATTCCAATGGCCCTGCTTTGGCCAGATGTTAATTGGAATGGAGAGGTTGTTATCAGGGTAGAGGGAACATAGGGATCAAGACAAAATAAGGACCCTAGCAGGGCAGGGGAGCTCTTTTCTGGAAGGAAGAAGGGATGGGGGAGCAGGCAGCCCAGGCCCTAGCCTCCACCATCCCCTGGCTATTTTTAGTCTCTCTCCTTCTCTGGGAACCTCCCCCTGCTGGCTTCTCACGCCCCAAGGGCAGCAATACAGAGTCATGGAGAACAAAATGAACGGAGTGGAGCTGAGCCTGGACCAGAAGAGTTGAACACCATCTGCCAAGGAGCTTATTAACCAGCCCCTTGCCAGTCTGGGATGGGTAAACACCCTCAAGGTCAAGTAGGTATCATCCAGCTCAGGGACAGAAAATTGAGGATTGAGAAGGGGTAGCAGTGGGACTGTGGAGTGAGTATGAACCCAGTTCTGCTATCCAGCCACCCTCTCCTCACTTCCTCTCTATCTAGGCCCGAAGCAGTTCTTCCTTTCTGTCTGGGTAGCCCAAAAGGAAATTGGGGGAGAAACAAAGAGAAATTGAGAGAACCTGAGGATCTAGATGAGTACCAACTACTCTTTCCTAAAGACTGGGAGGGGTCTTTTGCTGATATGGGTATAGGAATGAAGTGCTCTTTGAACCGCACCAACTCAGCCTGAAAATCTAATGCTCCGACACTTGGAACCGGACCAAACTAGAATGGAATGGAGAGGAAGCTCTCTCATCCCAATACTTCTTGCCCTCAAAAGTTTTGGGAGTATCTGGCCTTTCAGCCACAGGCTTTTTTGTTTTTTTGGTTTTTGTTCTTGTTGTTTTGTTTTGTTTTGTTTTTATCCCTTGATTCTCCCTCATCGGAGACCAGCGTGATGAGGGATAATAATGATGGGGAAACTGACCTGGACCGTAAACTTGCTCTGGCTCGCTCACACTCCAGTTCAGCCCTGGAGATTGCCATCTGCTCCACCCCTCCAAAAATAATCAGCGCGGAGAGGGAAAGAGCGTCAGGAAATAAGGTACGTTGAATAACGGGTCTGGAAGCTTTCCATCCTCCTTCAGATGTTAACTGAGACAACGAGTTCTGTTACGCCACCCTCCCTAAGAACTAGATTGAGCAGTAAGAATCTTCAAGCATTTACTCTCAAGGAGTTATCGTTTTCCACTGTCCTCTCCTCCCCTCAAACCCGACGGCTTTATCCCTTTAGAGATCAGAATGAGGAACGTCTTAGGGTAGCAAGCCTGCACAGCTCCACTATCCACTATGGACCCCTCCCCATACATACACACACACACACACACACACACACACACACACACACACACACACACACTTCCTGTGTCCCAAATAACCTCACTGCCACGCTCCCGAGGGTGCAACCCCTAGTTCTCCAGGCAGGAAGCAGCCCGGGGTGGGGGGAATAGAGGAGGAGGAGGCCCAAGGAAGGGGACGCTAGGATGGTGAAGGTACTTTAGCATGAAACCCCAAAAGACAGATAATTCTCGGGGGTTTTTTTGGGGGGGGAGTGTTTTCCTCCCAGCTTCTGATTTCTCCGACGGGGTGGGTGAGGGTGCTGTTAAGCCCTTAAGCTCTTTACAGTTGGTTTCTCATCCAGGAGCTCAGAGCAGATCAGCTCAGCTCATCAGACTCATAACTGAAGATGAAGTGGAGTGGAGTGAAGGAATGGGGTTACTAACCCTTGAGAGTATCCAGATCTGCTACCTTTTCCGTCTCCTTCCCCTCCCCTCCTACGTCCCTCTGACTGCCCCAACTGAACCCTTTCACTCTTCTGTCCAGGATAGTCAGTAGCACTAATTGTCATGCCTCTGAAGAGCTAAAAGTACCTTCTCCCCTCCCTCTCTCATATGAGAATAGACTCAAAAGTTTCTTCTCCCTCCCACATCAGCGTCCAAAGCATACGAAGCCTTCCTCCCCCACCAGTGTCCACTGACACCACACTTTCCCCTCTAAGCCAGGGGCTCCCCCAAGGTCGAACTCACCGAAGGTGGTCATCCCCAGGAGAAAAAGCTGAAGCTGGAGGAACCACGGAGGGCCAGGCAGGGGGACCATGGCACTCCCAATCCCCAAAACATTCAGGGGCTCCGAGTCCTAAGACAGGTGCTGCGTTTGCGCTAGATCGGGAGACAGAATACCAGCCAAGGCTACAGACACTAAATGACACTGTGGGCGGCGGCTCAGACTCGGGTGCCTTGGACTTCGGGGAGTGAGGAGGGAGGGTGCTCAGGGGCGGGGCCTTCAAAGGGGCGGAGAGGTCACGGTTCGAGGGGTTCGAGTGGCTAGATCAGCCACAAAGTGGCGCTCCTTCATTCTTCAACAACTTGAAGCCCATGGCCTCTCCAGGGTAAAAACAAATAGAGACGGGGCAAGTGGGTGTTGACAACCTTGACACCAAGGAGGTGTCGCCCTGGGAAAGGGTCCTGAGTTGCTGAAATGTTTACTCCTGGTCCTCCTTCGCCAGTACTTAAGGAGTTTGAGTCTTTGAGAACGGAGGTTTGGAGAGGGGGCGGCAGACTTCGAGCAAAGAAAGAGGCCAGAAAAGGAGAAAGGACTGAGAACAGGTCAATATGAGAACAGGTCAAAAATGAGAACCCAGGGCGGAACCCGGTCTGGGTGCAACCTGGTCCTTAGGATTCCCCTGCCAACCCATAATGGTGGTAGTGAGTGTCACACAGAGAGTTGCTGCTCGAACCGCTTTCTATACATACATAAGTAGTGGAACAGGACCCTGAGCTAAAAAATATGCCCCTCCCGCCTCCTTAGGCAGGACTTCCAGAAGGAGGTCTTTCTCAAGTAGGGCCAGCGGGCGTCATTAGCAGCTTGGGTCATCTTAGCTCGGTCAGAGCAGCCGCAAAAGCCCAAAGCCGTAGTCAGCCTTGTGCACAGGTTATTCAGCACCGCCCCCTTCCCCGCCCCCAACAGTTTTCTAGGGGCAAGGGGCGGGGCTACCACTGGGAGAATAGGTCTGTATAGTGGCTGAACCTCAGCCTTCTTTCCCTGGCGAAAGAGGATCGAAAATCAAGAAATTTCTGACAGTAAGGACTACTCCAAGGTATGTTGTCCCCAGAGCAGGACTCCCCACACGGATAGGAGGGAAGGTATAGCGTACACTGTTGTTTGTTTTGTTCTTACCTAGGCGGAGAGGGGAGAAATCGAGAATGAGAATGCTAGCTAGACACAGGACCCAGTGCCCACGGATCTCAAAGCATGAAATATGTCCTGAATGCTCCCCTGATTCTAGATTGGCCTAAGGCGGTTCAATAAGCTGAGAACGAAAACCAGGTGTTTTGGTCCTTTTGGACCCTCCCCCCGGAAGGGAGTGGCTTGTAGCCCTGGACATAAGAGTGTGGAATGCGGGAAAAGTACACAGCCCTTCAATTATCTTCCCCTGCAGGCATGGCTCAAGGCCTGGTCTGATCCTTTAATGCTCAGGATTTCGTACTTTCGTTTGCTGAGCATTTAATTAAAATTCACAGAGAAGAAAACATGCCAGGTCTACCAGACCAAGAATCTCTTTGGTAATGCTTAGGCCGACCGTAGCGCGCAAGACCTCGACCATCACTGCCCAAATGAAATACACTGACATCTGTTTCTTCTCTGGTCTAAGAAGGGAACTGGGGGAGAGGTGGTGGTGACTGCGATGCACTGTTTGCACTGCAAGACTGGGATGAAGATAATGTCAGAAGTCACATTGAACAGAGAGCTTAAGTAACTCGTTTCACTGCTCTTCACTTCAGCCTTCTGAGTGCCAGGACGTTAGGGCACCATAGATGTTAGGACTAAAGCAACAAATATTTATTAAGAGCTTACTAAGTGCACAGCATCTCACCAAAAATTAAGGGAGCAAGAGAGGAACCATAACTCCTGTGTTTCATTCTCCAGTGGTGACCACAACCTCATTCTTTCCCTACTATACCTAATTCCCTTTCTGGCATGACAGGATGCCAGGTCAAATGGCTAGTGAGCTGTCAAAGTGCCAAGCACAACATGCAAAACACCAGACAAGCCATGAAGCCCCAGGAATTTTATGATGTGGATACTTGGCTGTAGAGCGTGTGCAGGTGAAAAACTTTTGGAGGCAAAGGCAATAAAGAAGTATGAGTCCAATACAGGAAGTCCAGGAAATACCAGTCTAACTAGGGGGTGAATTAAATTTTATGCATATTAATTATCAACATAAAAGCAATATCCTTTTAAGATTTGTATATTCTCTAAGCTCCACTTTCTACACAGTTGAAAACCTGTGAGCATGCTCATCTAGTTCCCAGATTTGAGTTAAATCAATCCCACAGCTTGTGCCTTCCTGATTTCACTCCATAAAGAGCTGACACTCCCACCACACACATCTGATTCCACATCCTAGGAGCACATCCTCCCAAGATACCTCAAATAACCCTTTTGCTAACCCATAACAAGTGCTACATAAGGCAAAATCTGCATAAGGAAAAGAGAGGTCTTTTCCATTACCTCATCCTCCTGTTACTGCCCATCATTAAAAATTTTTTTTTAATTTAGCCATGGTGTTCAGGCTGTCAAGTGCTTTAATAAGATACACATACTGGGACTCTGAAGAGTCCTCACACTGCTAAAATCATAATGGCAACTTTTTTTAGTCTTTGTATAGTACATTTCTCATCTTACCTGAGGTAGGTTTTTAGTGGAAAGAGCAATGAATATCAAATAAGGAAAACTGGGTTCTAGCCCCAAGTCTGCCATTAATTTGATTGGTAACTTTGGACAAATTACCTTAGTTTTCTCCTTGGTAAACTAAGGGGTTTGGGGTAGACCTCTAGGAGCTTTACAACCCTTAAAATTCTATTCCTTTGACCAGATGACTTCCAAGTATTGGGGAGTTGGCTATCAGCGTTTTGTGATACCTTTTCCTTGCCCTCAATCCTACATATGGCATATAGAACACTTATTTTTCAAATTAAAATGAATCAAATTTTTGTTTTGAAAATGTCGTATGCTTTGAATATCACATAAAGGGAGTCACCCTGCAGTTCATAAAATTATCTTAAATAACGTACCAAAAAAACTGGGCTGTGAATTGAATTAGAATGAGATAGCTGATAAAAGCCAATGTGTTTCATATGTTGGCTCTTTAGGTTTTTTGACAAATCACAGTCTCACTTCTCTAAAATCTTTCCAAACACTGGTTCTTGTGTTCAGTGACTTCCTCCATTACCCTACCTTTAAGAGTTCAAGGAGGCCCAAATATTTTCATTTAATTCTTTGCTTTTAGCCATGTATATGCTGATAGTAACAATAGGCCATCTTTCCTACAATATTCTAATCTAAACATATATGAATAGATTTCATACCCAAGGCCTTTTCTAGACAGCCTCCTTTCCTCTAAATCCTCAGTTCCAATGGTTCAAAGCTGAATGCTAACATACACTTGGTTGCTGTCTCTGTAGACTGGTCTGTGACAGATAACAAATGATCTAATGATCCTCATTACTGTTAACTGTTTTGAACCCCACATTCTGCCTTATACCTAGAAACACACACACACACACACACACACACACACACACACACACACACACACACTTTCCCTTCCCTAGCTGAGCAACTATTAAGCTTAAGGGAAGAAGGAAGATTAGAGGTGAGGGAAACTGTTATTTTAAGTAGGGATATCATTCCTGGTAATAATGTAATTTGATTTTCTTGTAGCTTTAGGATTAATGGTATAGCTTAGAAACCTTGCTTAAGAAGAAATGCTTAATCAACACGCTCCAGGATGCTTGTGTCCATGTTGTGTGCTAGCATGCCTTGTCAGCACATATCAGAAAACAGGTAATTCTACACACACATATCCCCCCCCTCCTTCCAGCTTACTTCAATCACAAATAGAAGTAAGCCTAATTCAAACTTATCAACTTAGCCACTGGGAAGTCTATACTTATTTAAATTTAAAAGACAAATTTTAAAGGTTAAGGCAATAGTCAAAATTTATCAGACTGGAAAACAGAATCACTAATCTACAACTGTCACTTGGTTTTCAATCGTGTAAAATGATAGGGAGGATTATAAATCTTACTGGATTTGCACCTCCGGTTCAGAGTATTGGAGGTGAGTGATTTCTCCATAGAAGATGCTAGGGAGTTATTCAGAGGAAGTGATCCAAGAAGTTTTCCCCACATTAACCAAAACTTTACAGTTAAGATAACTGAACTTAGCTAATTCCAAAGTGGAAAGCTACTTAGCCTCAAGAACTATCTGGAAAACCTGGACAGCATTCTAGTAAGCTATGACCTTGCGACCACATACCCAGCTCATATCAAAAGTGGCTTGTTCTCCTTTTGTTTCAGTTCCTCTGTTTCTTCAAAACAGTATGAAAACACTATCTTTTTCATTTCACATCTTGGGCAAGGTGTCTCTGTTCACTAAGTAGAAAATATAGAAAAAGAATCTCATAGTTCAAGTATTTAAAGACAAGATACTCTTTTGTGGTATTTTTTAAAAGTCCAGACATACAAAATAACTGAGAGAAGTGGTGACAGTACCCAGTGTGAAGGCTTGCTCCTTAAATCACCTTCTCTCATCTTCCACATTGCTAATATCTCATGACTTCCAGGACATATTTATACCTTCTTCAATGACTTTAAGTTGGTTCATAAACTTCCTTTCCTCTTGACAATCTGCCATCATCCTTATGTTCTTCAATATTCATGTTAATGAACTATCCTCATTAAGTTTCTCAACTCCAATAGCCTCCATCTCCATTCCAGCTAACTGAACGACTTTCTGACCCCACTTCAGATTTCATCATGATCCAAAGCCCTACCCCTAAAAGGTCCTGAATTCCAAAATTCTCCTCTTTGACCACAACCCATCTTCATTTCTTTCCTCTAAATTTGTTCTTCATCCTCAGCATGATCTTGGGTTTCCCAACCCTTCCCTCTTCTCTGAATCTCTTTCCCCCATTCCAGCTTCTCTTGCTACTTAACCCAACGTTGATACTATCCAGGATTAGCTACTTCAGTGATTCACTTGCCATAACCTTGGAAGCCCTTCCTCTCCCCTCCCCCACCTCCTGCCTTTCAAAAAAAATTTTTTTTCAATAATACCTACTAATCCTCAACTTGGGATGTTAGAATAACCATTATGATCAGAATTCTCTGCTCCTGTTCAGGGCTGGAAGCCACACAGGAGAGAATCACAAAATTATGATTCTATTATAAAGTT